TGTTTCCGCCGGAGCTGGCTTGTGGCAATGGGAGCATCCCCGAGCCCCACAGGGAGGGTCTTGAATTTTTGGGAATGCACCGAGGGTGTCGCGTGGGTCTGCACGGCTGCAGGTTGGACCCCAGCCCCACGGGAGTGTGCCAGAATGGGACAGCTGGGGAAGGGTGTGGAGCACGAGTCTTAACCAGGAGTGGCTGAGGGAACTGGGGTGAAAAGGAGACTGAGGGGAGACCATCTCAGTCTCTACAATTATCTGGAAGGAGGCTGGAGCAAGGGGGGATGGTCATCTTCTTCCAAGTAACAGGTTCCTCAGGGGTTGGTACTGGGACCAGTGCTGTCTAACGTCTTTGTCAGCAACATGGACAGTGGGATCGAATGCACCCTCAGCAAGTTTGCTGATGACATCAAGCTGTGTGGTGTGGTTGACACCCTAGAGGGAAGGGATGCCATGCAGAGGGACCTTGACAGGCTGGAGAGGTGGGCCCATGCCAACCTCGTGAGGTTCAACAAGGCCAAGTGCAGGGCCCTGCACCTGGGTTGGGGCAACCCCAGGCACAAATACAGGTTGGCCAGAGAATGGATTGAGAACAGCCTCAAGGAGAAGGACCTGGGGGTGTTGGTCAATGAAAGGCTCAATGTGAGTCAGCAACATGTACTCACAACCCCGAAATGCAACTGTGTCCTGGGCTGCATCATAAGAGTGGCCAGCAGTGAAACCAGTACAGAGTGAGGCCCAGAGAGCAGTCACTGGGCATCACATCACCTCGTACAGCATCACAGAAGTACTGGGAGTGCAAGGATGTAACAGTTAGACTGATGAGTCTCTAGTCTGGAGAAAAGGAGGCTGAAAGGAGACCTTTTCACTCTCTGCAACTGCCTGAGAGGAGGCTGGAGGGAGGGGGTCAGTCTCTTCTCCCAAGGAATAGGACAGGACAAGTGACAGGACAAGAGAAAGGGCCTCAAGTTGTGCCAGGGGAAGTTTAGATTGGAAATCAGGAGCAATTTCTTCATGGAAAGGGTTGTCAGGCCCTGGCCCAGGCCAGGCTGCCCAGGCTGCCCAGAGCAGCGGTGGAGTCACCACCCCAGGAGGCACTGAAAAGCTGTGTAGATGTGGTGCTGAGGGACATGGGTTAGTGGTGGCCTTGTAGTTCTGGGTTAACAGTTGGACTTGATGATCTGAGAGGTCTTTTCTAGCCAAACCAATTCTATGAAGTGACACCTCCAGCTTTATGCCACCAGTACAGTTGTCCTGGAGCCCTGTGTGCTGGGCTGGAGACCTGCAGCCTGTGTCACAGGGAATAGCAGAAGGTGGATTGGTTGTCCCAGATCCCTGCTGATGGAGATGGGTGGGGTGAAAGGCTAAGATCCAGTTCCTCTTCTCCTTGGCTATTCTAGTCTGCCTCTAACCCTGATGTCCTGGAGGTGCTGCCTGGATGCCAGGGGTGTCCTCTGTGCTCAAGTATTTGTTGTTAAGAAGCAGAGATGTAGTGGAAAGCACTGGAGTGGCAGCAATGGAAGGTGAGCTCCTCAACAGGCCTTCAGGAGTAAACAAAGCTGGTGCCTTTGCAAGGGCACAAAAACGCAAGCAAAAGCACGCAGTGACTCCACCTGGCTCCAAGTGGCACAGTGAAGGGGAAGCTGTGCGTCACCTTCTCTTGAAACAACATAAAACTTCTGCTCCTCCAGCCCCTGTGGCAGGGAAATCGCCAACCATTCCTCTGCTCCTCCTGAACCTGCCTTTTACAGGCTTCATGAAACACCACAGGTCTTGCATTGTGTCACAAGCTGGTACTGGGGGGCTCCCGGCTGTCCGGTGCTTTTGCGACTGCCCCTCCCGATGTGGAGGGGTTTTTGTATAAGCCCGAGGGTCACACGTGGCACTCGCCTCTCATGGAGGAATGGCCACCGTGGGACCGTATTTCAGGGTGGTAGTTAGAATGTACCCCCACCCCCCTCAGAAATTGCCTCTAAAACCAAGGTTTGCTCCACAAACTAATCGGTTTATTAAGGGTTAACACAAACGGAGGAATGATGTTTAGGGAAAATGCAAATGTGAATGGCTGCCAGGGACATAAATATGTATATAGTGAGAAAATGTCCTTTAGGGAGGCAATGCAAAAGGTCCAGGTGCTTTTAAGGGAGAGGATTAAGGACCAAAGGGAGGAGGGATGTGTTTTTTTTTGGCGCGCCCCTGGGGGGGGGGGGGCCAGCCTCTCGGCAGCGGGTGCAGCGGCCGTTGGTTTCCCCTCAAGCGGCAGCAACACGGGGGGCTCCAGCCCCGACCCCAGGGCTCAGGACCCTGAGCTCAGTGCTGAGGCCCAGGCTGGACCCGGGGCAGGCAGGCAGGCAGGTCCCAGCACCAGTGCCTGCAGCAGGGGGTGTCCCATGCAGAAAGTGTCCCAACGGGCCTCAGGGAGGAGGGAAGGACCCACCTGCTGCACTCGCTGCCTCTGATACCCCCGGGACCCACCTGTCCAGGCAGTGTCACTGCCCAGAGCCAAGGAGCACCATGAGCCCCAAGTGAGGAGGTGACTGCCAGGGGCACAGGATGGCTTGTGGCCCATCTTTTCTGTCCCGCACCACATCCATTGTTTTGGGTTCAGTTGTCCTTGAGAAGCAAGTCTGGTTTAGTCCATGAGCAGGGAATGATCAGGAGAGGCCTATGCTTGCTGAAAAGGCATTTTGTTTAGACTGATGTGGGGAAGAAAAGAACAGTTTCCCACACATTGTGAGAGAACAAAGTCCTCCATGTTCCCTGTAGCTTTAGCTCTACCCTGTTCCCTCTTAGGCACCCCGTTTTCAGATATGGGAGTCCAGCTTGCCTAGAAGGTGGTCCAGACCTCTAATGTTCCCAAGGCCTTTTGAAGAGTCCTACACTCTTCTCAAGATGAAGGGGCCTACCATGCAACACTAAGTGCTCTCCCACCTGCAAAAATTCACCCTTATCCAGGCTGGTGGGACTTCCTTCTGTGGAGCAGACCTTGCTATCCTCCTCATCAGCCTGAAGTATAGAAAAAGGAAGCAGGACTTGTGCCTTTCTACCACCCATCATTCACCTTTCTTCAGCTCATGGCTGACACGGAGCTGGCACAGAGCTGTACTTCTGCAGTTGTTCATCTTGGCCTTCTCATGGATCCCCTCTCCACAGTACTCCTGGCACACAAAGGAGATTTGGGTAAAGTTCCAGCTCCCTGAATGGCTGAAGCCAAAAGGGGTCACCAAAGCTGTCACCAAAGGGGCCCCCAGCCACATGTTCCTGGGGCAGCAGTTGAGAGCTTGGGAGCTGCACAGGGCATGGAACCAAGGAGCTGAGTCAGCTGGAATCTAGTAACCCTTCCCAGGAGCACTTCCAGCTGCTCTGGAGCCCTCCCAGTGGGTCAAACCGTGCCCCAGCTGCCACTGGCAGCAGCACAATGGCAGGTTCAGGGGCACAGCCAGTGCTGTGATAAGGTGTGACCATCTAGTGATAGAAAGGCCCTTGCTTGGAAATATATCTGTGTGCTCCGTGTCGTGCTGCCCAGCAGTGCTGGGTGGGGGCGCTGAGCAAGTTTTCCTGCACTGAAATCATAGTGATTGAATATTCCCTGATCAAGAGGTATCCCAGCCACTTGATTCCCTTAGGATTACCTTTTCCATCA